CCCCGACGCCTCGCCTGGCACTGGCCCTCCCACCCCCCAGGACCACTCGGGCACTCTGGGCGCAGAGGAGTTCAAGGCCTGCCTGATCAGCCTGGGCTTCGATATCGCCAACGATGCACAGGTACTTAATCGTAGCGCCGCGGTGAGAGGTTTAACTGTTGTTTTTTGTTTTTTCTTTTGCACTTTCCCCCCTCTTTTACTTCCAACCCTCCCCCTCTGTTCTCGCCTCTCCTGGTCTAAATTTCCTTTGTGATTTCCTCTCAACATCCACTTTATGGATCGTTGCGGGTCTCTCCCTTAACTCTCCTCTTTGTTCGTCCTCCGTGACTTCCTCGACTATCCCTGCCCCTCCGTCTCTCTCCTCTCCTGCTGGTTTCATTTGTCCGTCGCTGACCTTGTAGAAGAGAACAGGAATCATGGATGCTGAAGACTTCAAAACCTGCCTTATCTCCATGGGTTACAACCTGGTAAAGCCATGAGCTCCCTTCAAGTATGAACGTTTGTTTGTGTGTGATTTTCAACACCAGTCGGAAATGGTAATGAACAGATGTGAATAAATGCAGCTGATTTGTCAGTACAGTCCTTTTTCGATAGATTTCTGTTTAAAACTGCTTTAGAATTTACTCTGATGGAAGATTTTCACTCCAGCAGCACCTCACTTGTGTAATACTCTACATTATAGATACATTATTTAGTATGTTTGTATGCAAAGTGTGAGAGATTTTGCTGTGTTGTTGTGGCGTGTTGCCATGGGCACCGTCACCATGGCGACCGAGCTTCACCACGTTTCCTCTCTGCTGCCTGCCAGGGTGAAAACGAGTTCTCCCGCATCATGAGCATAGTGGATCCCAACAGGATGGGCATCGTCACCTTCCAGGCCTTCATCGACTTCATGTCCCGCGAGACGGCCGACACGGACACCGCCGACCAGGTCATGGCCTCCTTCAAGGTCCTGGCAGGCGATAAGGTACCGCATCACGTTGTAGTTTCACCAAACAAGAAGGGACGATGAGGCTCAGTTGTTAGATTAGGCTGCATTTTGTAAACAGACTCATATTTAATACACTTTAGGTTCAAAGGAGACACATTTACAGCAGCTGTACTCAATGTTTTTATATTAACAACGGATGGTGTGACTGCTGGTGTGTGGAAGAGGCTCCTAGTGATGAGCACAATGGGAATTATCGGCTCCGCAGAGCTTTTTAACATCGCTCAGCTCATTGTTTGGGTTTTCCAGCTCACAGCTTTATTGTTTTGGTTCACCCTGTCCCCAGCAGGCAGCTCGTTCTGTAAAAGCCCCACAGTAAACTACCTGCACAACTCAGTGAAGCATTTCATATTTAAAGAGTAACGCACTTTCCTCAGAGAACAAAACAAACGACAAGGAGGTTAGAAGAGTAACATTATAGGAGGCCTGAAACATGGCGACATAAATAACGCTGCTGTAGACCTGCTGGAGGAGTGAATAGTTTTAGTGTTTGCTAACAATGAACCATAGCAGCCTAAAATCTGTTTGTTTAGTTAATAAAAAGTGTCAAATACCGTCAAATTTAATTTATATGAAATTTTGTAATTTTTTTTTAGCAAATTACGACAAGCAGTTAAAAAAAAATTCTATTAAAACTCTCATCTGATTGCCTGAAACTTTAATGGCATAAAATGTGGATATTCATGAAGATATTTGTGAAATCTTAGCTTGATATATAGAATATTTTGTGACATATCCATATTTCATGCTATTAAAGTTTCAGGCAAATCCGAGATGAACTGGGCAGAATTAATTCTTCAGATGGAATGGCAATTTTAAAAAAAAAATAAAAAAAAAATCTTACAAAGTATTTAACATGTCAAGCTAAAATGTCACAAATGTTTTTATAAATTTCTGTATTTTTTGCCATTAAAGTTTAAGGCAAATCAGAAATGTGCAGAAAAGTTTCTAAGAATCTGAATCCCTAGGGAATGACCCACCTGGCTAACAGACCAGCAAACAAAAAACTGAGCTGACAGTTGCATGAAGCTGCAGAGATCATTCACAATCTATTCTTTTTAATTCAATAATGCAATATTCTAAATGCAGACACTTCAGATTGAGCTCATTTTTACCTCCCCGTTGTGTTAACATCAGCTGCTGCTCTAACAAAACATCGCTTGTTTTCCTCCCGTCTCCTGTAGAACTACATCTTAGCCGACGAGCTGCGCCGCGAGCTGCCTCCAGACCAGGCCGATTACTGCATCGCCCGCATGGCCCCCTACAGCGGCCCGGACGCCGTCCCCGGAGCCCTGGACTACATGTCCTTCTCCACGGCTCTGTACGGAGAGAGCGACCTCTGAACATTGATCCTGACTCGGGACCACCAGCCTACCTGCTCCGATCACCGCCACGTTCCTCCGGCCGCCCCGTCACTACACTCCTGTCCTCCTGCGCTCATGTTTTTGTACGTCTCTGGCCTTATCTTTTTTGTCATTATCCTCTGTCTCCTCCTCCTCCTCCTCCTCCTCCTCCTGCCTCCCCTCCTCCAGCCTCCTCACTGCTCCCTCACCACTCTGTCTCCGTTGTATTTGCTTCCCACGCAATGCAGCAGCTCTCCAAGGTTTACAAAGAGGGAGAGACAAAAAAAAAATGTTTGTTTCTGTTTTTATTTTCTTGTTGTCATTGTTTTTTCTTCATAAAAATGAATAAAGTTAACATATTTTATTATACTGAACAAAAAAAAGGTATTTTTCTTCACCTGATTGAAAATAAGAGACAGAAATTGTAATAAAGAAAAATTGCTATACTTCCTCTTCTAATTCTCTGTTTGCTGCAGGGATCCTCGGTGGTTTTTTAATAGAATTACTTTGGCAGTTTATGCATTTCAAGGACACCACTTTACTACTAAAGTAAATGCTCATATCATAAAACTGTCTGTATACATATATATATATCCTTATAGCCAAAGGAAGGCAGGTAAAAACAGAACCTCTACTCACTCAAATGGAATATAGTCGTAGATAAACAAACTAGCATCAAGACAAGCTGTTTTTTTATATAACAATTCTTTTTTAAGCCAATCACTGTCGTCATTTTTGTGGTCACTATTATTATTAGCTTATCTAGGCAGGACTACCACGTGGAGCTCAAATACAGAATAATATGTGTTTTTTTCAAATAGTTTTTAATGTAAACGGTTGCTTCAATTATGCTTTAAAATGTTGGTGATGCTCATAAGATGATTACAGTTTGAATGCTATTGGCTATGGAGGACTCCTGAGTCAAATGTGTCCTTGTTCCACTCAGGACACCCACCAACTGGAGCTGAGACGTCACATTATGTCCATCCGGCCTTCTCTTTCTTTCTTTTTGCTGCAGGTTCTGCGTCAGTCTTGCATTTTTTAGCATAATTTTATTTTCTAACCCTTCAAAGTTGCTTTCATTCCCACGCTCTTTAAGAGTCTGTACAAGGGCTTAACTTAAATTATACACACGTTGATAAAAACATGTAGGAACATTCTTCATTCACATATAATCAACAGATGAATGCTACATCTTTAAATTGCTATAAAATCAGTCTAAACTGCTTGTTGTATGTGATTGAATGGGACCTGTTTAAATGCATCTGTATGTGAACAATGGGAGCAGAGAAAAGGTTCTGCTAAAAAGGTTCTGACAGAAGAAAAAAAGTAAATGGATGTTCTATGAGCACATTTGTAGGCCTCCAACAAGCCTTCCTTCTGGTTGTGCAGGGTGGTGAAATTATTATTACTATTTTTTAACAGTTTCTAACAACGCTTTTGAACAATTTCATTTTGTTATTATTTTTTAGCTCTTTTTGATTACAGGAAATAATTAGTAAAATCACACACACACACAAAATCTTTTCATTTACATGTTAACCATAAAAAAACAGTCCAAATCTTGTGTATTATGTTTGCATCAAAATGTTTTATTTTATTTTACTTTTTTTGTGATTTAAGGACTAAAAAAAAGGGTTTTTTTAAAAAAACTAAGCTAATTTTTCAGAATTTCCCTGTAAAATTACAGATCATCATTAGTTCAATGACAACCAATATTTATTTATATGTTCATCCAAAAAAGTAGCAACGACCGGCCAACACTGTACATTGTGTTCACACCAAAATTTGTATTTTTACAAACTGTAATTTGTACTTTTACAATTTTTGAACGTAAAATTAAATGATGTTGTTATACTGCGTTTAAATCAGCTATATATATATATATATAGTAATTTTACAGATATTTGCAGTTATTTTCATCATTTTCTATAGTTTTTGAAGGTAACAGTATTAATTTACCTTACCTTTTTTCTGGCACCATATTTTCTGTTTTGCTACA